TGATGCTGCTTGGCCTGCTGTGTTCATCCAGCTCTACACCTTGTTATCTCAGATTCTTCAGCATCTGCAGTTCCTATTATCTCCAAAAACATCAGTGCAATATTTTGCCAAGATTTAAATTAATTCATAGAAATTCAATTTCCACGTTAGCAATCCTTATGGCCACTGGGTGCCATTTCAACAGCAGCTTTGTGCTGTAGACCCAGTTTCATCAGAACTGGACTGAGGCTGCCCTAATTCAGAGTTTAGAATGGCCACTGAAACTAGATGGCTTATTTTCATCCGATCATTAAAGATTTGATTCAGAGTGCTAAAAGTTAACGTAGTTCAATATCAAACTTCAGTTAGGTCACATTTGGAATATTGTGTGCAGTTCTGGTCATCACACTACCAGAGGATGTGCATGCTTTAGAGAAGGTGCAGAGGTGGTTTACCAGGATCTTGCCTGGTCTGGAGGATTTTAGTTATGAGAATTTGGATAAACTCAGATTGTTTTCACTGGAAAAAGACAGAGGCTAAAGGGGTGGCCTGATAGAGGTCTACAAAATTAAAGAGGGGCATAAATAGTGGATAGTTGGAGGCTTTTTCTTCCAGAGTGGAAAGGTCAACTGCAAGACGGCACAGGTTCAAGGCGAGAGGGGGTCAGGTTTGGCAGAGAAGTGCAGGGAAAAATTTTCACACGGATGGTGATGCGTGCCTGGAATGCACTGCCAATGGAGGTGGTGGAAGCAGGCACATTAGCAATGCTTAAGTTTTATCTTGATAGACACATGAATGCGAGACAAACAGAGGGATAGATAAGCAAATAGGCAATAAGTAGCAGGTCTAAATAAGGACTAGGAATCAGCACAGACTTGAAGGGCCTCAGGGCCTGTTCCTGTGCTGTACTGTAATGTATTATTGTATTGAACTATAAGGTTGTATCATCTTAACTGGCCCCACCCAAGACAATATTAAAATTATACCATCTCATCTTTTTGAAAAACTCCTTGTGAATTTGGAGCTATTGAGATTTTCATTTTCTCTCCCCCCACCCCAAAACAAAACAAATTTTCAGAGCTTAGCCAACATCTACTATTGATACATTTAACTGTATTGAATCAGTTTTTGAATAGTTTTTGATTAAAATCCATTAAATATATCTGTGCAATCTAGATCTGCAAACAAATTAAGATGCAGCCTCTAAAAGGAGCTTGAAAATGACAAAAAATTGTATGTAATCCACATGAATTGTTTGCCTTCAGGCCATAAAGAGCTATTAAATTGATACAATTGTCACCAAAAGCTCAACTTGAATTTAAATGTTACTGTAAAAACCTTAGTCTGGAATCTTGGTGGGAAGTGTTCAAATGCTGTCCAGTTTGCATGCACATACAGGGCAGTATTATCTCACTGAGAATTAATTAATGCCATATCATAGAAATTTGTGACTTGGCAGGTTGATGATCTCCACCTAACTAGGAAGTCTACAAGTTGCTCTGGATCAAACAGTTGAGGTTCAAATGTAACACGAGTTCTGAATACAAGAATGAAAACAGCTCAAAAATTAGGGGTTTGCTGGAAGGGAGTTCAGTTTGTGAAGGTTTCCTATATAGAGATACTGGTTACTTAAAATTGAGATTTATTTGCTCATTTGTAAACCCTCCACATAAAAATAAGAGTTTAAAAATATGAAAACCTGTGCAATAACGAAGGCACAAAAAAGACATTAAGATATTTAATTAGAAAAGATACATAATCAACTATTGAACTTTTGAATAAAATCTGAAACTTGCACGAATTAGAAACTAGTGCAATTGGCTGGTGCAGGCCCCAAAAGACCACTACTCATTGGTCTAAATGATATAAGAACACACCCAGATGAAAAGTAATTATGTACATTTACAATGTTGTTCATATCAAAATGTCTTCAAGCATTTATAGAAAAATTGCTTTAAGTGTAAGTGATAGACAGGTAAACACAGCAAATTATCCAGATTAGCACCATTTTGCAAACATCCAACAGATAAGTGACCAGTTAATCTAGTTTGGATGGTACCGAAGAGACATGCTAAACTCAACAGAAAAGAGTTCCCCATTCTTTGAATAATGCCACCAGAACAGGTGCATGTCTTTGATTCACCTGAAGTACAGTATTTTATTGGAGATTATTCTCCATCCACAGAGAAAGATTCTCAAAAGGAACAATATCATGCATTGATTTTGCTCGTTAGACGAGCAATATCCTATTTGTACATGAAAGATCGATTAACAAAAATCAAGTTTTATTTCAGTTGCATTCTCACTTGATGTGAAACCTTCAGAGAAACAAAATGCTGCTTCAGATTTATCTTTTTTCCTGAAAAGCCAAGATTCTGATCAGATTTTAAAAAGGTGAGAGAAATAATTAGTTATTTCTAGATAAAGGGTTTTGGACCACATTCTCTTCGCCAAGCCTCTTAACCTGAGTAAAATGCTAAGTCAGAAATTGAGAAACTGTCCAGCAAGATCCTTTTAGTTGGAAAAATAGTACAGCATATCATGCTTCAAATTCAAAGATCACCACAGAACACCTGACAGGCATGTTCTTTAAACAAATTATTGCTTCCAAAAGCACCTTAAGTCAGTAAATCAGGTAATCTTAATCAGAGTTCCACACAAACACAATTTCAGATACTGAAGAGAACAAATTTACACAGTTGAACCAATTGTACAATTTAGGAACATGCATCACCAGGGCTCAACATGAAGACGGTGGCTTTGCAGACAATCTTAGATTAATTTAGTAACCTTCTGCAGGTATAGAAAAGAAGATTAAAAAATTGCAGTTGGGATACATATATACACAATTGTGGGAGGTTAGCTATGTTGGTGACAAACAGTTACAACTTAAAATGTGCATGTTGCACACATTCAGTAAGACATTAACAAAATGTGATCAAATGTATGGTAAGAAGCAGATCTCCATTCTAACATATAGAATGGACTGAGAACAAATGTGAACTAACTGTATTTACAAAGTTTATGAATAGTTTAGTAAGAATTTGAAACAAACCAACAATCTGAAAGCATTTTGATGTGATAAAGTTCAGCTTCACAGCACTTGTGGGCAATAGTCCACAAATAAGCATACAACTCTTAAAATAAAAAGACATAGGATGGCTAAGGATTTTTCAGGATGTACTTGTGCAGCATACCAAATATACAATTGTGCTATTAAAGCAAGACTTGCAAAAAACAAAGGTAAATCTTAAAACACGGAATTGAAGAATCGACAATTTGTTTTTAAAAGCAGATTTCATTGTTACACTTCCTACTTTACCTGGAAACTGAATCTGATTGAATTTATTAAATTGGCACCTTCCAGTATCGTAAGCAGTCAAACTGAAATCCTGGCTGCACATGTATTGATTTAAAATTTGACAAGGATGAGAAATAATCTGGTTCAACAAAATAACAGTTTGTGCCCACTTTTTCCTACAACGTAAAGCAATTCTGCTAAATGCTGCTTTTTCCTTCGTCACACAAGAAAGATACATAGCATGCGACATGCAAGCTGCAGAACACGGGACCAAATAAGCTGATTTTGGATAGAAATGAGCTGCACATAACCAAAATTGCAAAGGCAGTCTAACATGGCTGTTTAGTAAAAAAAGCTAAGAATCACAGCATTTTATAGAACAACCATCAAGCTTCTGGTCAGTATTGAACAAATTTCATTTATCTCAAGAACGTGGCTGGATTTAAAAAGCATCAGTTATTATTTTTGGAGCCAATACATAATTAACATTTTCCCTACATCCAAGTAGTGGGTAGTTCAAAAGTTTTGATTGAAACAGAACGTGAAAGTAAAACACTCCTGGAGGCGCATTCTTTTCTTTTACTCATTCATTCACATGATCAGGGTCTCACTGGCTGGCCAGCAGACAGTTAAGGGTAACCACATTGCTGCAGGTCTTCAAGGGAAAATGGTCACTAGTTACGACAAAGTGGGCTAATTAAAAAAGGATAACAGATTATAGTTTTCACCTTTATGGAAAACATCAAAACTAAAATAAAATTGCTTTTCTGGATACTTACTAAAATATTAAATTCGTGTTTTAAATTTCATTTATTTTTAGTCTTGGGTCCCAAATAATCTAATGGTCACTTTCAAAATGCAAACACCCTAAATAAAAATTTAGTCACCAGAAACTTATTAACTGTTAGAAAGACTGACCTTACTCCTGCTCACTATATTTGGAAGTGGCCCCATATTCATCAAAGCAGCAAAAAAGGAGGAAAATCATTTGCAAAGAGGGGCAGATGGTTCATTATTCTGTGTTCTGTGATGTTTTATTAGTGGGAGAAATTGCTGATGTCTTCATTTCATTGCAAAAAGTACTTAAGAATAGGGTGTAGTAACTATAAATAAAATTGCAAGGACATGCAATTTCCTAATTATAAACCAAAACAGGAAGTGAAAACTGCTCAAAGCTCATCCTCCTCTACCTTAACGTGGAACCCTGTGGTTTTACAAGTCCCTAGGTGTTTGTACATGTAAGCTCTTACCTACCAAATTTCAAAGAAAGCTTGTGGGCATTGTCATGTTGTTTTTCTCTCATCAGTTTTAATTGTTCTTCACACTTGTTTAAATTTATATTCTGGTCCAATGCTCATCTTTAACTGCCAAAGTAAAGTTATACTCCAACTACACCGCTTACAGTCTGGATTCCTGCTTGCAGGCTATTAGATAAAATGTACAAAATGTTCTTTTTGAATTTCTAAAGTCAATTGAGATTTTTTTCACTGACATCTCAGCTATTAAAAAGTTTCTCCTACACTATTCAGGCAGATCTTTACATTAGAGAATCTAAATGACAACTATCAAGTGATAACCTGTGGTCACTCATTGTCAACTAATTTTAATTTGGGAAATGATACAAAAATTGCAAGAGCCAGCTTTGCTGATGTCCATCAGGACAACTGCTACTAAGGAAAGAACAAAATAAAAACTGCCCATTCTCTTAAAAAGAAATGCATGGAAATTATTTCAAGATGACAATCTTAAAAAAAAAAAATCAGACAATGATCCTAATGCAGTGGCTTTCACAACCTCAGGACATCCCAAAGTGCTTTACAGCCAATGAAGTTCTTCTGAATGGTGGTCACAGTGAGTCTGCAAGAAACGTGCAGCCGATTTGTGCAGCAAGCTCCCTCAAACAGCAACATATTTTTAAACTGACACTATGTAAGGGACAAATATTAGGTATGAGATTGCGATAACACTTACTTTTCAAAATATAGTGTTAAGGGATCTTTTTCATCCACAGGTGCGAACTAACAACTCCTCAATTTAACACCCGCTCTCAAAAGATAGTGCAGTACTGTACACACCCAATTAAGCACTTGAGCTGCACTATTACAGACACAACCAGTATCTTGAAACCATTCCAAAGAATGCATTAAAAAAAAAGAAATCTTTGTATACATCCAAACAAAAATTAAATCTTTCCAGTTTGACTAAAATCATCCAGGCTAATTACCAGAATGCCAATTCAACACAAGTAGTGTTTGATCTCTAAAAGGGTGGCCTCATTAAGTTAATTTGAACTCCATCACATGATTTCCAAGATCCTGTAGTAAATGTGCATACTACATGTTGCTTCAGCTTCAATTTTACAGAGCTCCACAGTTGCCCTAATCAAATGATTTTGATTTGACCATATCCTGCACATAGACAACTATAAAAGCTAGTAAATCCCTAAAGGCCAACATAATAAATATATGCACATTAATTTGCAGGTAGAACAGTGGTATGCACTAAAAATCTGACACCACAAAGTGCTCAAGTACCTGAAAGAGAAACCACATATTAAGTCAATTCAAGCCCAAGTAATTCAGAAAGAATTCTTATTGAATAGACGTTCCAATACATATTCAATGAGTATGCAATTTTTGGCAATTTAATAGAGCCAAGGATCATTGGGTGCACTTCTCATTTGACCGTTAAATGACTCTCATTCCAGCCATCGCACCCTTACTTTTTGCTTGTAATGGTACTCTTTCAGATACTCTTGTAGAGGTGGAGGAAGTGGAAGTGCATCTATTCCATCATACGTTGTACAGTTGCAGATAGCTGCACGGCAGATGTACTGCAGACTGAAAGGAAGAGTCCTGGTCAGTGGAACAGTAAGCAAAGGTTCAAAAAACATGCACGAGCTGGGATCTTTATAATGTTCCAGAAGGCCAGTTACAGTGGAAGAGTGAAAAACACAGGGGTCATGGGCATCAAAACTAAAATTGTGATTCCATTGCTCAATCCTTGCATGCAAAGAGCGGTTATAACGGCGGAAGCTCACAGAGAAAAGGTAATCCTCTTGTGCGGAGTCCCTGAGTAAAAAAGTACCTTCAGGCTTGCCATCAAGAAGAGCCTCAGCTTCATAACGATCCATCACTCCCCAGTAACAAGAGTTACTCGTAATCTGTAGGAGGTCTGGTACCAGGCAATGAATGTAATCAATTTGCGTGTGCACTTTCCAGGGCCCAGGTTTGGTAGAGTGACTGATGTTTTCTCCTGCCACCTGCCGTGGTTTCTGTTTGCGTGCCTGGAGACAGAGAGTCGTGGTATCTTCTTCAGAGTCCCAATCGCCATTTGTTATTGCACGACTGTCACCAGAAAGTTCACTCATCCCAGGAGCTAACTTTGGTCCCAGCTTGTATGTTTGATTAATTTGTGCAGTTGATTCAAAGGTATGTATAAGAGCATTGGGAGGAGGATCGACTCCTTCTTCAATGCTGAGCCTACGCCTTTCGCGAAGTCTATCTTCTTCATCTTCTGCAGAAGCAAATGTTGGATCAAATGTCTCAAGCCAACAGGCTGACTGTGAGCTCACAGGAGCAGTGTGCTGCTTAATAAGATGCCATTTTTGCGCTAGGTCTGATCCAGCTGGAAAAGGACATCTTTCAAGCATGAGTTCAGACAGCAATATTTTTCTCCTGCTGGAGAATAAGCTCTTTGACTGTTTATTGCGTGTTCGTAGTGGAAAACACAGTCCCACAGTTTCTTGCAATCGCTGGCGTATAGATTGCCGTGTCATACTCCGATTAGATAAATTATCCATATCATGTATAGAACTTACACCATATCGTCTTTCACGTCTCTGTAACGCACATCTTGTCCGACTAAAGCGTTTATCTATATCAAATGACATTTGCATTTTTGTAGAGCAAGAATGCTTCTTCTTTCCACCCCATGGAGCATGACGGGAGTAAGAGTCTCTTCGAACAAGGTGAGAATCTTGTGTAGTAGGTAAGTTCTCATTCTCTTTATCTAAATCAGCTTCAACAATCTCTGGGATGTCAGAAACACAATTTCTATTCCTTCTGTCTGCAACCAGTGGCATAGTTCCATTTCTATTTAATGGACTGAAACCTTGCTGAGGCAAATCACCAACTTGTACACTTACATTTTTACTGACCAAACATTTTGGACAGTTGAAGTCGTTTTCATTTCTGCCTCCAACTTCATTAACAAAAAGGTTCTGACATCTGTATTTTAAATTGCTCCACATCTTTCCAACTTTATCCATAGGTTAATCACGTATCTAAAAGGACACAAGAGAAATATATTAAAACAAACTGAACAACAGTTCAAAAATAAAGCTATATCTAATCCTGTACCAAAGTTTCTGTAAACCAGAAAATTAGAGACCGTCTGAATGCATATCAAAATAAATGCAATTCTGGAATTGAATGGAATTCCTGTGCAAACAGAATTTTTCATACATTCATTTGCATAACTGAATTCCATTCTCTAAACCTTTTCACTGATAAAAAGAACAGGCAGATTTAGTCTAGATGAACAATACCAAGTCTCAGTAAATTCTAAAGACTTCTCCATTTGCAATAAAACTAGAATTAAGCCAGCAGTAAAATCTGCATTCATTTGGTACTACAGCAAATCAAAATAGCAAACTACTCCAGACACTATTACTTTTGAAATGCAGTCATTTATAGACACACATAGCCACCAACTTGCAAAAAGCAAAAATCTGATGAACTAAAAATGGGAGGAATAGCCAATTAATCTGTTTCCATTTATGCTGATTAGACAGGAACACTGGCCAAGACACCAGGAGAGTGTTGCCCCTTTCCAGGCAGTAAAATGAGATGCTTTACATCAACTAAACCACTGGAACATCAGATAAAGGAACTGGATGATTTTAAGGACTCGGACATTTCACTCGCATTTTGTAAAATCAACTTATTGGTAATGTGACTGGCCTGCAAAACTCCGCAGAAAGTTGGCGTGAACACCTTCACAAATCATAGTTGTAGAGTTGTACAGAATGGAAACAGACCCTTGAGTCCAACTCATCCATGTCGACCAGATATTCTAAATTAACCCAGTCCATTTGCCAGCATTTGGCCCGTATCCCTTTAAATTCTTCCTACTCATGGACACATCCAAATGAGTTTTAAATCTTGTAACTGTACCAGCCTCCACCACTTCCTCTGGCAGCTCATTCCATACATGCACCACCCTCTGAAAAAGCTGCCCCTCAGGTTCCTTTTAAATCTTTCCCCTCTCACCTTAAACCTGCGCCTTCCAGGAGAAGGATATTGTTGTCTGCACACATGCTTGAAAGATGTTCTTTTGAACTCCCCTACCCTGGGGAAGAGTCCTTGGCTATTCACCCTATCCATGCCCTTCATGATTTTTATAAACCTCTATAGATGTCATCACTCAGCCTGACGCTCTAGGGAAAACAGCCCCATCCTATTCAGACTCTCTCTATAGCTCAAACCTTGCAACCCTGTGCTCAATCTAAATGACAACACTAAAGTATTACTCAAAATGTAAGTTTTAAGAGAAGTTAAGAATGGGTGTTCACAACTTAATTTTTGGACGAACCCTTCAAAATGAAACTGTATCTTAACTTTAACCACAGTATGTTATTTTTTCCAAAAAAAAGTGTTCTCTCTGCTAGCCTTTTTGAAGGTATGGTATTTTGCAAGATGTAGTTTAACTTATTCAGCTGGGACAGACTGGCTACTGATCTAACCCATTGAACCAAATGGCATGATCTTCACAAGGAATAAATAGCTTATTCCCAGAGAGATGTTCCAACATGCAAGTTATAGCTAATGTGGCAATTTAGTTATGACTAGATATCTCCCAAAAGGGTGAACTTACTGTACTGTGTTACAACTCCATAACAGATATTACATGCAGGAAAAGAAAGTTGTTCCTAATATGCATATGTCACAACATTTTCATTTCAAATGGTTCAAATATGAAATTTAGTATCCTCTTTGGAACATACTGCATCCAAATAGACCGATATAGACTGCTGGATGTCTGTGTTCAGTCATTCATTCGCAAAAAACATACAATAGTTGAAACTATTCCTTTTCATATATTCCATGAGGGATATATTTGCTTTGGAAGGCAATTCAGACCCATCAATATTATTGATCTGAGACAAAAGGTGCAGAGCTGGATGAACACAGCAGGCCAAGCAGCATCATAGGAGCAAAAAGGCTGACGTTTCAGGCCTAGACCCTTCATCAGAAATGGGGGAGGGGAAGGGGGTTCTGAAATAAATAGGGAGAGGGGGAGGCGGAAAGAAGATGGATAGAGGAGAGGATAGGTGGAGAGGAGACAGACAGGTCAAAGAGGCGGGGATGGAGCCAGTAAAGGTGAGTGTAGGTGGGGAGTTAGGGAGGGGATAGGTCAGTCCAGGGAGGATGGACAGGTCAAGGGGGCGGGATGAGGTTAGTAGGTAGGAGATGGGGGTGCAGCTTGAGATGGGAGGAGGGGATAGGTGGGAGGAAGAACAGGTTAGGGAGGCGGGGACGAGCTGGGCTGATTTTGGGATGCGGTGGGGGGAGGGGAGATTTTGAAGCTTGTGAAATCCACATTGATACCATTGGGCTGCAGGGTTCCCAAGCGGAATATGAGTTGCTGTTCCTGCAACCTTCGGGTGGCATCGTTGTGGCACTGTAGGAGGCCCAGGATGGACATGTCGTCTGAGGAATGGGAGGGGGAGTTGAAATGGTTCGCGACTGGGAGGTGCAGTTGTTTCAATGTGCAATGGTATCAATGTGGATTTCACAAGCTTCAAAATCTCCCCTCCCCCCACTGCATCCCAAAACCAGCCCAGCTGATCCCCGCCTCCCTAACCTGTTCTTCCTCCCACCTATGCCCTCCTCCCACCTCAAGCTGCACCCGCATCTCCTACCTACCAGCCTCATCCCCGCCTCCTTGACCTGTCCGTCTTCCCTGGACTGACCAACCCCCACCCTAACTCCCCACCTACACTCACCTTTACTGGCTCCATCCCCACCTCTTCGACCTGTCTGTTTCTTCTCCACCTATCTTCTCCTCTATCCATCTTCTATCCGCCTCCCCCTCTCTCCCTATTTATTTCAGAACCCCCTTCCCCTCCCCCATTTCTGATGAAGGGTCTAGGCCCGAAACGTCAGCCTTTTTGCTCCTATGATGCTGTTTGGCCAGCTGTGTTCATCCAGCTCTGCACCTTGTTGTCTTGGATTCTCCAGCATCTGCAGTCCCTACTATGTCTAATATTATTGATCTTGTTTGTTAACCCAACACGTTGAAACTGACTTCATGTGAAAACGCAATCCTAAAGTGCAAGTGCTTGGATGCTTTTGAAACAATACCCACTCCCACTACTGTTTCAGTCTATTTTAATTCAAGACTTAATATCTGCCATTGCCATAATGACCTAATGTATGGCTTTGAGGATATCTTAAATAATTTAAAATTGATACTTTAACATCAATATTATTGAAGATTAAGAACCTGATTTGTCACAACGGAAATGGAGACTGAAGATGAACTTACTAGATGCAGCAAACTCCTTTTAAAATGGTGGACTTCTTGGGTTGCTTTGAAATCCTATACTGAACAAGAATTTATTATTGAGCAAAAACAAAGTTTCTGGAAGAGTTCAGCAGGTCTGGCAGCATCTGTGAAAACAAACAGAGTTAACGTTTTGGGTCCGGTGACCCTTCCTCAGAACGAAGGGTCACCGGACCGGAAACGTTAACTGTTTTTTTAAGCCCACAGATGCTACCAGACCTGCTGAGCTCTTGCAGAAACTTTGTTTTTGTTCCTAATTTACAGCATCCGCAGTTCTTTCGGTTTTAGTTTATTACTGAAGTTGCTTTGATGCCCCCCCCCCCCACCAATGAACTACTACTAATTTCTGGGATGCTGGAGCTGTCTTACGAGGCAAGGTTGAGTCTATAATCATTCCATGAGAAGAATGAAGCAAGTGTATTGAAACAAGATTCTGAGAAGACTTGACAGGGTAGATGGTAAAAAGATGTTCCCCCATGTAAGGGAAATCTAGAAATAGTGTAATTTCAAAAGAAGTGGTTAAACGTGTAAGGCTTAGATGAAGTGAAATTTCTTTCAAGGGTCATACATTTATGGAATTCTCCAAACTGGGCAGCTTTAGAGGGCAAGTCACTGAATAGCTCGGAGGCCAAGTCAGACAACTAGAAAATCCAAAGGTTGAGAGGAACAGGTGGAACAATGAAGAAGGTCAAGATCAGTTAAGCCATAGTCATATTCAATGGTCTAGAAGATTTTGGGAGCCCCATGATCTACTCCTGCCCCTATTTCTTACATTCTTACCTAAAAGTAGGGATAGGTTGTTCCCCTTCTTGTCCTAAATAAAGATCCACTTGTGGGGATATCTTCTTCAAAGGGCTCAAATGACAATTTTCTGCTGAAATCTTGCATTAACTTAAAGTTTTACAGCAGAGACTAAGAAGAAATAAAAATAAAACCAAAAAAACTAAAATTGCTATTTGAGATCACATTGACATTTTTGTGAATGTTACAGAAGAACTGGAGTTCAAAAGCAAATATGGAGTTACTAACCTGTTTGCCTGCTTTTCTTCTAAATGAATCAAGTTCTTAATTTTAAATTGACATAGTCCCAAAGTGTTCATTCATTCCACCTACTGGAGGACTCAGGAAATACATACAGGGACACATGTAGGGAAAAGACGGACAGACGGATATTCTCCCACTCCTGTTACAGGGACAAGGCAACATTAATTATGTAGTTAATTAGTAACAACCTGGGTGTAAGAAGCAGTGAATAATACAGTGCACAAGATTAGACCCTGCACACCAAGGAATATTCATTTCATTAATGGAGGAAGAAAGGAGAAGAAATAGGGAATATAGATGGAATAACTAACAAGGAAGTATTCTAGTTGAATAAACTTACTCCATGCTGCTCTAGTTCACATCTGCTCAGTACAAATTGTTTCTTTCACCTCTAAGTTGCTATTTTCTACTTAAAACATGCACTCAATTCATCTTTCCAGTGTTGGGGCATAACCCTGGTTAGACCACACTTGGAATAGTGTGTTCAGTTCTGGTCGCCTCATTATAGGAAGGATGTGGAAGCGTTAGAGAGGGTGCAGAGGAGATTTACCAGGATGCTGCCTGGACTGGAGGGCAGGTCTTACGAGGAGAGGTTAAGGGAGCTACGGCTTTTTTCATTGGAGCGAAGGAGGATGAGAGGTGACTTGATAGAGGTGTACAAGATGATGAGGC